TGCCACAGGTCTGCTGTGGGGGGGAGCTGGGTGGCCTAGGGGTGATGACCAGACCAGGTGACGTGCCCCAGCCCTGTCCTGCCGTACATGGCACTCGATTAGGGCCTCTTCTGCTCTCTCAGCACCTCTTTGGTGGTAAGGGGACGCTCACAGGCTCACGCTCTCTCGCCTAGGAGGTGGAGTTCCTCTCGTCCTCTATTGCCCAGCTCAAAGTGGTGCAGACCAAGTACGTGGAAGCCAAGGACTGCCTCAATGTACTCAACAAAAGCAACGAAGGTGAGTGAGATACCTTCACCCTCGGCCTGCGTGGCCCTGCCAGGTCCCTGGGGCACTTACTGGGATGCCTGAGCAGCAACTGGAGAGGCTGGTGTTGTCCTGCCTGGCCTTGCCAGTCCTGGCTGCTGCCTAGGTGAGACACATCACTCTGTGCTTTGAGTGACGACTGAGAGCCCAGGCTCTGCGCTTTCTTCTGCCCTGCGTCAGTTTATGCCCTTGGACCAGGTTCTTGTTTCCGTGGTGCCTCCTTCCCTGCTAGGAGGTTGGGCGTTAAGCAGCATCCCAGGCACGCGGGGTGCACGGAGGGGCTAGATGTGGTTGTAACGTCGTACCTAGCTGTTTGGCGCTGTGTAGCTGCTCTGTGTGCCCCTCGCCCTGCTGTGGGCAATCAGCTGGTGCATCCGAGTGCTCAAACACGTTTCTGCTTTGTTTCCTGTAGGAAAGGACCTGCTGGTCCCGCTCACCAGCTCTGTATCCTTTGCCAGCCCTGCAGTCCTCTGAAGTTAACTCTTCTTTGCTAGTGGGGACGCGGGAATGTCAACTGCTAGGGCCGAGGGGCTTGGGGGACGTTTTACCTGGCTGTGCCCACTTCAGGAGGGATATGACCTCTCCTGGTTGCTCCTTCCCTGCCTCCTGGGAAGGTGCTGGCCAGTCCTCGTTCCTCTCTGAGCAAGGACCCCAGGATGTTTCCTTTCCCTCTGGCCAGCAGCTGAGCTGGGGTGTTTAGGGCTGACAGATTTTTGTCCCTGTTGCTCTTGACGCGAGCTCTGCTTCTTCATGCTGGGCCTGTGCTGCTCGGGTCGTGCGTTGGTCCGTGGTGGCCACTGTGCCGAGGACGCCTGGCCTCGGTTCCCAGCTCTGCTGGGCTGAGGTGCTTTGCTCCCAGAGCTGCCTAGTTGTCTTGGTTCCCTGCTTTCCCTTGACCCCCCCCCGCCAGATGTATGTCCCTGGGAAGCTCTCAGATGTCGAGCACGTGCTGATAGATGTAGGAACAGGCTACTACGTGGAGAAGGTAAGGGGTGCGTGGAGTGGCCCAGAAGCAGCTGCGTTTCTGCAGCAGATCATAAACAGAATTGTCCGTGGCCGAAGGGTAGCAGGAACTTTGTGCCTAGAGCTCTCTGTTATCCTTTATTCCCTCAGACAGCAGATGATGCCCGAGACTTTTTCAAGCGGAAGATTGACTTCCTGACCAAACAGATGGAGAAGATCCAGCCTGCGCTGCAGGAGAAACATGCCATGAAGCAGGGTAAGGGCCCATCTCCCACACCCCGCTGCAGCTCCTCGCTCTGGGCAGGCCCCCGAGCAGCTCCCCTCACTGCCTGGGTGCCTTGTCTTCCTGCAGCCGTGGTGGAAATGATGAGCCAGAAGATCCAGCAGCTCACGGCCCTGGGGACCGCGCAGGGCGTGACAACAAAGGCGTAGCCTTCGGCCTCAGGGGCTGCCTTCATCAGCATCGCTGCTGGGACGAGAGCAGAGCTGCTGAAGAAAGCCGCTGGGGCCCAGACCACCTTGTCCCCCCTTCCCCAACACTCCTCTCCCTGCTCGGCAGGGCTCTGCTGTTGACTCTAAACACGTGCGGTGCCTGGAAGCAAAGCACCAGCCAAACCCTTCCCTTTTTGTAAGCAGTGCGTTGCTGCCAGTGTATGGAATAAATTAGAGATGCAGGGAACAGCTCCGGGCGGCATCTGGTGCTTCTCGAACCGGGAAGGTTTCAAGGGCAGGAATTCAGCCCTCTGCAGCCAGCGGGAGGTAGGATTGGGCAGGGGCGGAGAGGCACGCAAAGAGGGGGAAAAACAACCTGGGACTCCTCCCAAAGTGGAGTCATGCCAGGCGAAACAGGGGGCCTGCTCCAGCCCAAAAGATCACGCGATACAGACCGGCCTTATCTGAGGAAATCATGCTCTTCCCGATCCCGCAGCTCTCGCAGCGGGGACTCCCAAGATCCTCCGGCCCCCCAGCGCAGCTGTGGGCTGGCCCTGGCCCCTCTCGCTGCCCTTTGCACCAAGGTAAGAACTTAGCAAAGCCTCACCTGCCTTAAAACCCAGCACCGCTCTCTCCCCGATGCCCTCGCACAAGTGGCTCTGGGCTCTTCCCTTCGGAGGCGCCCCAGGCACAAAATAATCCACGTTCCCCCAAACAGAAATACTTTATTCTACAGCCGAGGCACTGTCCATCCGCACACCGCGTCCGACCGCCCGGCCAGGCAGCCCTGCCAGCCCCTGGCGCTGGTTCCCCTCGGCAAAGTGGCCGCCTTGCAGTGTAGTATGGCTTCTACCTTACACGTTCCCCCTCTGGCCCCCTCCCGCCCTCTACTATATACATCTATAGGGTCCAACCCCTACGGGTTCGCTGAGGTCGCGCGTTCCAGGGCTCGGCCGCAGCGAGAGCCCTGGGGTGGCCGCGCTCAGCCTGTGTCTGGCCGGGGCAGGGCCCCAAGAAGCACC